CGCACTGAGGCATACCGAATTCCAAGGCAAACTAGGCAAATGGGGCTTACGCGGGTCTTTTGGCTGTGAGGGCTGCATGCAGACTGCGACCGCAGTCGATAGGCCGATGATCGTGATTGGACACATTGATTGCGACATGCGAGTACTATCTGCAGGGTGAGCATGCTGAGGAGATGGCATGGAATGTAAGTGGGAGAGGTATCTTGGAAGTAGCCGCACGATCACATGCAAGCAGAAAACGGCAGGCGCACCCGACCGCCTCACCTTTCGTCGAGGTCCTTCAAAAGCTAGCCATCACTCCCCAATCTGAATTGAATCAAGTTCCTGTCATCCACACCATGATGGATCGTTAATTTCTTTTGCTCATCTTTGGACTATTGGTTGACGTCTCACGCCTTCACACTCCACACCTTGATGCTCGCATCGCCTCCCGCCGAAATGACCTTGAGACCCTTCTCCCATGCGACACCATTGACGCCATCCTTGTGAGCGTTGAGAGCCTTGATACGCTTGCCAGGGTCTTCTGTGCTCCAGACCATGACATTGGTGTCCAGACTGCCACTTGCGGCGTAGTTCTCACTCTCGTCCCAGGCCAGACAGGTAATGCGTGCGGTATGGGCACTCCATCTGTCCGTGATGACCTTCCAGTCTCCGCCTACCTCAAATGCGTAGATCTTGCCGTTTCCAGCACCCACTGCCAGCTTCTTGCCTGAGGCAGAAAAGGCGAGTGCGGAGATGGGAGCTGTTGCACGGCGAAGCACTGTGTCGGTCTCCTTGAGCTCAGTGCCAGAAAGGGTGTAGATGTGTACTAGCTTGTCGTCTCCGCCAACAGCAACGGTAGAGCCGTGCGCTGCGATTGAGGTAGGGGCGAATTTGACCGGTAACGAGCTGACCTGGGCCCCCTTGGAGTATACTGCGATGGCATCGATAGAAGGAATCAGCACGGTGCTCGATGTCGCGGCAACGCCCTTGGGTTGGAACTTGAGATCGTGTGCCTCGCCAGTGAAGATCTTGTCCGGAACGGACATGGAGCGTAATGTATCGTCCCAGCCAACACTGTACAACTCCGCCTCATTCTTGCTGTCGGAAGTCGTGATGCCGGCGACGTAGCTGGAATGTGCTGCGCCTTCGACCTTGTCAGCCAATCCAGTGGTGGTGTCCCATGCGAGGACACGGCCGTCATAGCTTCCCGTGGCGAAAGTAGATCCAGCGATGGCAGCCGATGTAATATTCTTGGAATGGCCACGGATGATGCGCGTTGGCTTTGGGTTGCCGTCGACGAGGTAGTTCAGGTTTCCTTCGAGATCCACACTGACGATCAGACCATCACTGCGGCCCGTGGGCCATACGACACCAACCTGCTGGTCGGGTATGCTAGCGACACCTTCCTCGCCCATCCTCCAGGTCTGAATGTTCTTGCCTGCTTCCGGGTCCCATATCCGCACCGTCTGGTCCGCACTGGCTGTGACGAACTTCTTCGAGTCCTTGGACCACGACACGCCAAAGATGCTGCCGGTATGTACACCCTCGCCAATTTGTCCCTTTGCCTCGCCCGTCTTGCCATCGTATAGCCATATGCGCTTGTCGGCGCCAACGCTTGCGAATACGGAACCGTCAGGGGAGAAGGCGGTGCCGAAGACGAAGCGGTTGTGCTGTCCTCGCAGACTGGTGTTGAACTTGAAGGGGGCGCCGTGGTAGAAGACCAGGCTGGTGTCGTCGGAGCCCGTGGCGGCGCGGAGGGGTCGTTGCTGGCGGATAGACACGCAGTTGATCTGTGACGAGTGGCCGGATATCTCGCCCACGCTGTTGCCGCTGTCTGCCGTGATGCAGTGGCCGAAGCGCTCCTTGCCGTCGCCGACAGCTATAATGCGCTGCGAGTCGCCGTCCCATGCCAAGTCGTTGATGCGGCCTGCGATGATGTGGTAGTCGCCTGCACCGCGTCAGCTTCCTCGCTCCATGTCCTGCTATGCCTCACCCACCTTTTGTAGCTCCTTCACCTGCGCAGTCCCAAACCTTGACAGTACCCGAGACATCTCCACTAGCTACGTAGAAGCCCGAGGGTGAGAAGCGGGCGACAGTCGTCTGTGTCGTATGTTGGGTGTATTGTTTACTAACAGCCGGGTCGTCGATGGATCGCAGGAAGACGGATTTGCCTGACTACATGTCCAATTAGCTCCGCGAAAGCTTCGGATAGTCGGAAAACTCACGGCATAGGCAATGCGTTCGCCCTTGGGGTCCGAGGAGAGCGGTGTTGCCTGTCCGCGCGTTGTCGAGGGCGACGCTGCCCAGATGGCATCTGTTTACGGTCAGTAGCTGCTATGCAGAAGCTATCTGGGAGCTCGTACCTGATACTAGAGACATTGTGCGCGCAGTTCAAAGGACAGTGAGGTAGCAAAGGGTATGCGTTATGGCAATTGCAGAGGATATCTGCCTGTAGCTGGCAGCGTTGGCGGTGGCCTCTGCTTCGTCACCGCCTACGTTTCAGCAACCAGCCACGAGTCGCGGGGCAGGTGGGGGTGGCTCCTTCATGACAGCTCACCTGGGGGTAGCTGCTGAACATCTTCACATGTTACTCCAGGTACCAGCTCTACATGTCAGCATCCATGATCCGCGTTCCTTTTGCTGATAGTCTGGCTTTGCTGCATGCTCAGCCAACATCGCATTCCATCATCGAGGCCAGGTCTGGAACGAAATACCGCCGAGATCACTATGCAAATAGCTCCTTCGATCAAGGATACATCCCAGAACCACATGCGCATGCTTGCAATTCACCGCTGACTGCATGGAAATATCTGGTTGCGAATTGAAGAGGCTGGCAGACCAAACAACCTTGGAATGCCCCAGCAGACCCTTGGCACACGTCATTTCCGCGCGTTGCACGTCGCGTTGAGATATCTTCAAGACTGAACTGATATACAAGCACATCCTGCATCATTGACTCTCTGTCTCGCACATCGCCCATTCCGGACGCTATTCGCTTCCCTCGTTCGCTGTCGCGTCGTTCGCTGTACAACGTCATCACCCGGGAACCCGGCATCCGGTAGCCTACATCCCCAACATCATCATCACCATTCTCATTGCGGAAGAGCAAAGACATCAAACACCATCAACATGTGTCTCATGCGGTCTTATGAAACGCGCGGTCGTACCGTCATTGAACCACCTCCCCGACGAGGAAACTACACGTCCCATACACCAGCCGGCGTGATGCGTCTGCCGCGCGAATGGCGCCGGACCTCAGTCGAGAGCTTCAGCGACGACGGCCGCTACGTCGAGTACAGGTTCGTAATAACTTTATGGCACCATTGGTTGTCTGACACTTACATCATCCAGGCGATCGCGATCTCGTCCCCGTGCTATTGAGTACGTCGAAGAGCCTCGCATACGTGCAAGGAGCCGTGCGAGGAGTCGGGCGAGGAGTGTATCCAGACGACGCATTAGCGACGTTGAGATTGTCAGGCCAGCAAGGACCAGCTACATTGACCCACGTGGAAGTGGTTATGTGGACGAGAGGGTTACCAGGCGAAGTGTCAGCCGCGTGAGACATTGAGGAGTCACATCTCTGCAGACGAGAAAATGAGGTATGTGTGATCACAGAACAGAGCAAGCTCGTGCGTGCTAACACGCTCAGGTTTTGAATTGAATGTGTACATATGGGATACATAGAAGTTTTGTAATTACGAACGTTTAACTTTCAACAAACCAACAATGCTTGCGGCAAGAAATGTCCCATGTTGCTCACCAACTTCTTGAAGCCTACCCACTTCGAAGATCATCCCTTCAGGCCCAACACAACAAGCCATCTAATAGCTCAACAGCAATCTATGATGGAAATATTTCGGAAACTCCCATCCGGAGATAAATAATAGTGTACATCTTAGGGCGTAGCAACCCCTGCCGCTAACCGCTTCCGAGCTGCACTCCAAGGTGGGGCGCTGTATCCGACTCATAGCTAAACTTCGTCATCAGATTTTGAGTCACGATGAGGGAACGACATACAAGTCTTTGAAAACAACGCTCATTCTCACCAATCTACTCATCGTCCCAATCCTACACCATGGCATCCAACCCCATGCAACGATGCTGCATCATCGGCGTAAAGCACTCAGGTACACCACAAGGCCAAATCAAACACATCGACAAAAGTACACCTCCCTTCATCCCCATCCCTTAACCCTTCCCATCTAACCCACAAACAAGTCCGCACATACACCACCTACCCCCCCAACAACCCCTCCCCCTCAAACGCCATCCTCATCATGACCGACGTCCTCGGCATGGACTTCCCCAACACCCAACTCATCGCCGACCAGTTCGCGCAAAACGGCTATCTAACCGTCATCCCCGACGTCTTCAACGGGAGCGAAGTGCCGTTTCCGCCTCCGGAGTCGTTTGACTTGCAGGAGTATATCACAACGACGATGCCGAAGACTGATACTGTGGATCCTATGTTTGAGACGGTGATTAAGCATTTGAGAGATGAGTTGGGGATTAAGAGGTTGGGCGGTGTGGGATATTGTTTCGGCGGGAAGTACGTGTGTCGGTTTTTGAAAGAAGGGGGGTTGAGGAAGGGGGGGATTGACGCGGGGTTTACTGCTCATCCTAGTTTTGTGGATGCGGAGGAAGTTAGGGATATTAGGGGTCCGTTGAGTATTGCTGCTGCAGGTATGACTTTCAATTGTAACATTCGCGTTTCATTCCTTCCATTCATTCCACCCATTCCACCTACTCCAAAAAACCAAACTGTCGAGACAAAGACATAAACAAAAAGAACGCACTAACGATACCAACAACAACTCTAGAAACCGATTCCATCTTTCCAGCTGAGAAGCGGCGCGAGACAGAAGACATCCTCAAAGACCACACCGTTCCGTACCAAATGTTCCTGTATTCGGATGTCGAGCATGGGTTTGGTGTTAAAGGGGATTTGTCGCATGCGAAGGCGAGGTTTGCGAAGGAACAGGCTTTTTTGCAAGCGGTGGGTTGGTTGGACGAGTATGTTAAGAAAGCGCCGGGAGTGTAGGGGATTTCTCGGGGAGGTTAGGGAAGTTCGTGAGGGTGTTGGACAGGTGTGGTATGGGTGTCTCGTTGGCTGGGTGTGCGTCTTGGAGGGCGGTGTCGTAGTCGTGTAATGTGCATTTGAGCCTGGTGATCTCATCTGGTCTGGCGAGTTGCTCCAAGTTCTCAGTCGTGTATTTCTCCAGCCAGAAGTCGCCGCTCATCTCGACATCGGTACTAGCATCCGAAGAGTCGCAGTACGCCCATACGAAGTCAACAACCGTATCGATCGAAGCCAAAACTGCCGAGAGCACCCAGGCGCAGAAGCTGATGGCGAAGTACGTGAAGAGAAACAGAGTTATCAGAAGACAACCCCAGAGATAGCCCGTGAGGATACTGTCGAGTACTTCGTTGGGTTGCGGCATGGATGTCGATGGCCGGAACATGACCGCTTGGTGGGGGAAGAGAGGTGGCATGGCCGTGAGGTAAGACGGTAGAGTAGTTTCAGGTGTCTTCTTGGTCGCGAGGCAATGATAATGCGTGCTGACGACAATGTACCGAGTGTAGCAATGTTGGTGCTCGCAGTAAGGCTAGTCGAAGACAATATATCGTTCGTAGCAATATGAGTACCCAGCAATGGTGGGTGTTGGACCGCGATGGTTGAGGTCGGGATTTGTTTGCGAGAATATGCGAGATGGCTAGAAGGCTACAGCTGCGCTTGCCTCGTCGTCGAGAGCCGCGCCTTACAACCCGAGTCTATCCGTAAACACTTCTCATGTTCAGGTGATAGATAGAAAGTGCTGCCTTGGTTCAAGAAGAAGGTGCTGACACGCCATTTTCAACCACCATCTTTACCATCTGGTCTTCGTCTTTCGAACTCCCCCCTTTATCCTTAACTTTCTCCGCCCAAGGCGGCTCTCCATCCTCATCAAACTCCGCCCACTGAAAAAACCCACAACTCTCCCGACCCGGCACATAACCCGCATGGCACATCCACATATACCGCCCCCTCGATTCCCTCTTCCTCGTCGCACACCTCAACACAGTCGGAACACCACACTTGCATTTCGGCGTAAACCTCGGATGAAGACTATCCTTATAGAACCGATACGTAATATTAAGTCGCTTGTTCTTCGCCAGCGGATGAGGATCGATAGCTTGGGCCGGCGCGATCGAGTGCTTCCATTCTTCTTGCATCTCAGCATGCATGACCAAGAGCGAGTTGTGTGGTAAATGAATGCTGATTTGGCCCTGGGCGTCCGCGAGAGAACCGTCGTCTTTTCGGTGCTCGTCGTCTTCGGCGACGGTCTTGCGGACCCGGAATTCGCGTGCGACTCCGAGGCTTAGACTGCCGGTGACAGCTCGTGGACCGAGGTAGGTGAGTTGGTCGGCGTGGTATCCGACGCTTTCTTGTGGTCCGTCGTAGCAGTTGACGAAGGCCGTGTTGGCTTTCCAGGGGTGAGGGGATTGGTATCTGAGTTTCTTGCCGTTGGGGTAGAAGTCGCGGATTCTGCGGCGGATTTCGCGGTTGACGGCGTCTTCGACTTGGGGGCATGCGTTGAGCATTTCTGGTAGGCTTTGTCGGACATCCTGGGTGGAATTAGCATTTTGGTGGTGTTTCTTGTCAGCGGTCCTACCTCGATCTGGCCACCGTTGTAGATGTATTCCGTCTTTTGTCGTTCCGCCTCTTCTAAGCTGTTGACGTAGAAAGAGTACGTGTGTGGGCTTACAACAACTCTGTCGAACAGCTTGAACTCGTACCTGTCGTAGGTCGACGAGGCGTCCAGTAATTGTGACAGCAGTGCATCCGCTTGCTCTACTGGAAGGAAATTATGTATGATTGAACAAGGCGTATGTGCTTCGATGTCTTCTGGGCTATAGAGAAATAGTGTTTTTCCCTTTCTCACAAGTGGCTTCTTGATCAACGTGCCGTTGGCGGGAGCAATGCGATACGAGCTCAGTGACGATTGATATCCCACTGTCGATGATGCGGGTCGCTTGCGTGGGGACGTAACTTGAGGTCGCGATAGACACTCCGAGGCTTGTTCAACGGCCCCGTCAGCAGCGAGCAATGCTTCAAGCAGAGTCCCTTCATCAACTGTAGGATGCAAAGATGCCAGCAAGGCCAACTTGAAATCGGTAGACTCTTCTTCTGGGTCTTTAGCCTCTGAAGGCCGCGTGCTCATACTCGCCACTGACTTGGGCGGCCCCTCATCCCACTTCCTCTTGCGCGACACGAACGCGTCCATACCGACTGTGGTGGGTTAAAATGGCGCGCATAGTCGCATCAACAAAGTGAAACAGCCTCCTCGACAGTGGCGACTGGCGTTACAAGACGCGCTGTCACGGGACAACCTCCGGCGCCACACCAGCCCCGCCAGAATCCAAAGGCGCCTCGGTCAACCGACACCTCGTCATCCGCAACCATGCTGCAGCACAACACCCACTCCACGTCCCGGCGCGACATGACGCGCCGTACCATACCTACCATACCTATCCTCCACGCGCCATAATACTATATCCACCCACCACCCACCATGCTCGAGTTCCGCACCCAAGGCTTCAACGGCTACTCGGTCAAATACAGCCCCTTCTTCGACTCGCGCATCGCCGTCGCAACATCCGCCAACTTCGGGCTCGTCGGAAACGGACGATTATACATATTAGGCCTTACAGCGAATGGCATCGTAGCCGAGAAATGGTACTTGCTATCACCCCTCTTCCACCTTTCCACCTTACTGTCACATGCTAACCCACCCGTTCCCCCAGGTTCGACACGCAAGACTCCCTCTTCGACAGCACCTGGTCCGAATCACACGAGTCCCAACTCCTCACCGCGGGCGGCGACGGCTCAGTAAAACTCTTCGACATAAACGTGCCCAACTTCCCCATCGCATCCTGGCAAGAGCACGCGCGCGAAGTCTTCGCCGTCCACTGGAACCTCGTGTCCAAAGACACTTTTCTATCCTCGTCCTGGGACGGCACGATCAAGATCTGGAACCCAAACTCAGATGCGAGTATAACCACCTTACCGACGCATTCATGTACCTACAGTGCGAGTTTCAGTCCGCACAGTCCGAGTGTGCTGTCAAGTGTGAGTAGTGATAGCCATTTGAGGGTTTTCGATCTGAGGACGCCGGCGAGTGCGAGTAATCATTTGACGATGAGTGTGCCGGTTCATCAGCCGCCGAAAGCGAGGATGGGACATGCGCCGGGCGTGGGTGTTGCGCCTGCGGAGGCGTTGACGCATGATTGGAATAAATATAGGGATACTATCGTTGCGACCGCAGGCGTGGATCGCGTGATACGCACGTTTGATATCAGGATGCCGCAGCAGGGGCCTGTTGCTGTGCTGCCCGGGCATGAGTATGCGGTTCGGAAGTTGAGTTGGAGTCCGCATTTGAGCGATATACTGCTTAGTGCGAGTTACGATATGACGTGTCGGGTGTGGACAGATGGGAGTGCTATGGGTGTGGGGAGTGTGAAGCAGGAGAACATGCTGGAAGATCCTATGTTTTATGGTGGGGGTAGAGAGATGGGGAGGATGGGGAGGCATACCGAGTTCGTCACGGGTGTCGATTGGTGTCTGTTTGGCGCGGAGGGCTGGTGTGCTAGTACGGGGTGGGACGAGAGGGTTATGGTATGGGATTGCCGGGCTATCATGCAATGAGATGACGACGTTCCATGCAACATGCGCTCGACACTGAGATATATCTGTTCTCCATTCCCTACAAAAGTAACAATGCTCAGCGCGCTACACCGCGAGCTATGATGCCGACTACCAACTCAACGAGACAACAAGCAAAAGACAGGGTATCATCCCATAGCTACACCCAGACACCGGAATGCAAATCCCACATGCGCCGCCCAAATGCCGAAGCTCAAAAACGCCTCTATGCTCCTTCCCTCTATCACTCGATTCCTGGACCTTCCTATGGGTCCGCGAGGTTCAGAATATCCTCAAGCGCATCGTCCATCTTCTGCATGTCTTGAACGCTGTCTCCTTGCCAGTGCATGCCCACTCCATCGTCGATCTGCGTTAGGTCGCCAGTTCCATGACTTTCCTCCAGATCGTCGAGGTTCAGAATATCATCGTCAAGAGCATCGTCCATCTCTTGCACATCTTGAACGCTGTCTCCTTGCGAGTGCATGCCCACTTCATCGTCGATCTGGATCGGATTGCCAGTCAACTTGAAGACCATCCTAAAGGTCTCCGAGGTTCAGAATATCATCAAGCGCATCATCCATCTCCTGCATATCTTGCACACTACCTCCTTGCCAATGCATACCCACTTCATCATCAATCTGCATCGGATCACCAAAGTCAATGGTCCAAGTCTCGCCGTTGAGGTCGTGCTTAGTCCCATTTGCAATGCCATTGATACCGTTGGTGAGAGTACCATTCGTAAGCGGTTTCGCGGGCGCATTGTAGATGTCTTCGATGCCGTGCGTGTCAAGAAACCTCGAGTTCATTATCGATCCCGCAATCAGTGGTGTTTGTCCGAGGTACGAGTCTCCGAGTTCCAGCGCGAGTCTCAAGTCCTCCATACACAGGAGTTTCCGCTTTCGTCGCTCTTCTGCTTCGACGGGGAGTTCGCCTCCGATGCCGCGGGCCAGCTCGCCGCGATCTACTAGTCTTTCTTCTCGCGCGAGCTTCTTCTTGAATTCGCCTGTGCGCACATATCCTGGGCCGTTGCTGCTCACTTTGCCTAGTAAGTTTGCCAGTGCTTCTTTTATGTATGTCTCGGTAGCGATGTTGAGGTAGTCTGGGCAGTCGGACGTATGGCCCTGAGGTAGCCCGAACTCGTAGCATATCGGTAGCAGGCGGTAGGATATCGTTGTTGCGGTGGGAAATTCGTGCGTCTCGGCGTAGAGGGCCGAGGTATACCGTTTCCGAATCTCAAGTTCCCAGTCTGAGACCAAGTTGTTAGCATCTCAAGACATAAAGGAGGGGTATAGCAAATGTCGTGTACGTACTCGTCTTTCCAAATCCACCGCCCTGGTTGCTGCTCGGCCCAACATCGAGCTGCTTCGCCCGTCTCGCATCAACATACTCCTGCACCGGCCCAGCAGCACCCGCGCCCAAGCCCTCCAGCCCCGTACTCAGCGGGCTCTCACCTGCCGGTATACCCTTCAGCCGCTTTCTCTCCCTGCGACTCAATTGCATGACCTCGTGCTTGAGTCTCTTCTCGCTCTCGTCCCCTGTCCCCTTGACCGTCCCGCTCGTCGGCTTGTCGCTACTCGACACCCAACTGGCGATGCCTGCTTCGGGCGGGTCGCGCCATATGTTAGCGTATATAGCCGTGAAGAGCGCATTGTGCGCGTGTTCCAGGGCGGGCGTGGTGAGGATCTTGGACAGCTTGTGGGACAGCTCCTCCTGGTTGAGGTTGCCGAGGAGAAAGAAGGAGAGGGCCTTTTTGTAGATGGTCCAGTCTGCGTCGCTTATGGAGCCTTTGACTGCGGCGTACAGGGGCTCGACGTCCACACGGGGGGCGCGCGGCGCGTTGGGCTTCTTGGTGAGGTCCGTCTGGAGGGATGTGAGGCTGGGCAGGGTGCCCGACGAGAGCGTCGGCGTAGTGGAGACATTCATGTCATTGGGGCGTATGGTGCCTGCCATGATGGCGGTGGAAGCGCGCCGTGGTGGCGCTCAATGCGTCGTGATGTGCGCGTTGCGAGGTCGTCGCGCGTTGGACAGATGCGCGTGCGGGCTGTGGAGAAGGCTGAGGGCGGCGGGAGAGCGACGCCGGGGTCTGCGCAACGCTTCAAGAGTGCCAGCGGGGTCGCACACGTATGCAATAATGAGCCCCGATGGCGGGCAAGTTTGGCAGGCGTTGTGCGGGGCCTACGCTGATGGACAAGCATGCAGTCGTGGAGAGCGTGAGGTCAGAGCTCGGGGGTTTGCGGAGTTGATGCTGGGGCAGCCTAACAACGTCCACGAGCCCCATGAAACCTCAACCACGTTAACGCTTCCTCTCGGTCCCAGAACATTTAATGTAAACTTCATACGCTATGCACTTATATACTAACATGATTCGTTTTCACATACGCTCCCGTCCCAATGCTAGTGCAGTCGCTTTTATGCCCTGTATACCGTCCCCCATTGTACGGTATCGCTAGTTTTCACCAAATACATCTCCAAGCTCTACTTTCCCTACACTCCAAATCTCTCGCTCATCTTCCATCTCGTCACTCGACAAACCAAGACCGCCTGCTCCACCTTCGGCCTCTTTCCTTTCTCTGGCTTGCCCAGCTAGCCTCATGGCAACCCTCTTGAAGTAGTCGCCCATGCTGCGCTGTTGGCCAGCAGACAGGCTCTTGCCGGGTCCAGCCATGTACTTGTCGAACACGGCCGTCTCTTCGTCCACCACCGAGAAGATGGCAAGGAACGCCGCTTCAGCCGACAGCTTGACTGGGATTACTGGATCGCGCACCGATGCGAAGACCACCGGTATGAGGAGCGGGATATGGGGACGGATCAATTCGTTGTGCTCTCGAGCAACTGTCCGAAGCACCACAAGCGCCAATCGCCTTGTGTCGACGGGATGGCCGGGCTCGACTACGGGCGCAAGAGCCTCGAATATTGGCTTGGTGTGGTCGAAGTTCTTGCTGCTCTTCTCCGATAGAAGGTATTTGCCAGCGGCGAGGATCGAGTTATCCGAGATGAACGGTTGTGAATGACCAATACCCTGGCATATAACATTTACTGTCTCGTCTGCAAAAGATTCTGTCAGAGCCTCGGGAGCATCTAGCAGAATGGCATTCAGCGCCAGTACGGAAGACTTGTTGAAGTGAGTCGTGAGCACGCGAGCCTTGAGAAGACTGGACGCGACATCCTCGGGAAGGCAGCTAATGAGGGCACCCAGAAGTCGAGCATTTGTAATCGCCATTGCATCTACCCCATGTTAGTCACACTGGGCAGGATCAGAATCAGTCTAAACTTACCATTAGAATCATCGCTCTCGTTGTCGATGAGACCAAGGATGGCGTTTCTGCTTGCTTCGCTCATGTTCTTGCCTGCCTTGCTTACGACCTCAAACAGGGCCTTCAGCATAGCCGTCTTGACATTTTCGTCGCTTGTCTTGGATCCGGTCACCAACTCAGCGATTAGTGGATCCACCCTTGGTGTAAGCTTGATCAATGTACCAAGAGCCTTGGCTGCTCGCGCTCGCAGAACATCGGAGGATGTATCGGCAAGCGACTTAGCGAAAGTGCGCTGGAGTTGGGGCAAGAAGGGCTTGAGGAAGGTTGG